ATGTGACACGAGTAAATTTTACCTTTCCAAAAACTGAGCTGTAGTGATTGTGAAGTAATTTCAGAAGCTGTGGTTACCAGACTTATGTAGAGGTCATAGTCGTGGTGTGTTTTACGAATTCAGACGGTCTTCTGTGCTATCAGATGCGAATGCCGTCCTGCCATGCTTAACATTGAAATGGATGGCAACGATACTGATGTTACTTAAAACTCACGGCAATTTCGAGAAGGTTTTGAGTAACTACATGTTGCAGATTTCTAATGAGCTGGCTACAATTCAATTCGTGCATTATATTTTAAGTCTTCTAGTTTGGAGTTATTTCTGTATATTTGAGAAGTAAGCAAAATAACCAAGGAGCCCATTTCTTTCCCCAATTCGTCACCACTAACCTGCGGGATCGACAATTTCATAAGTGATATTTAGAGAGCTGTTGCATGCAACCAACTAGCTTCCTCATGCTTTTATTACCCTGGCTAGCTGTATCTGTTCCAGTGCTTTTCTCTAATGTCTAATGGAATATTTTAAGCAGCCTCATCATCTAAAACCGAACCACACATTTATTCAATCAGATCTGACGTTCGTCCTCACGACGTTTATTATTTACTGCAATCCAGCGAAGAACTGGGGACGTTCCGAGTATCTATAAATCATTCAAGTCTCGACAGTTTTAGGAGGATGTGATACGACACTATCAGAAAAAGCCTGAACATCAGTTTCACTCGACAATTATGTATTTTTATATAGCTGGGTTTCCTGATGAACGTTGAGAAACAACGTATTCGGTCCAGTAGTTTAGACTTCAAGGATATTTTAATTATGAAGTCATTGTGCTCGCCAGCTGTTTAACCACTAGTGAGAAGTTAGTAGGCGATATGGATGTAATTAGTGTTGGGACTACTGAGAATTCATTGCTAAAATCTGTACAGTGCTGAACTAATACAAGTTGCAGCACAGCTAGGAACCACTCAAAGATGTGAAGACAGAGCCGTGGTGATTCAGTGAATCAATATGTATTAATGGAAATTGCTCAATGATCGAAACGTTCACAACCTCGAGGATGGTAGATGAGGCGTTGCTTTTCGAACCATGTCATGGAAAGTCGACAAGCATTCGTGTTTAGCATCTTTTTGGTTGAAGCAAGTATGCGGGGTTAAGATAAGTAGGACCAGTATTGGTTTAAAGGGACAAGGTGTAATGCCTCTTCTCGAAATTCTACTAAAGATCACTCATCTAGTTATCACTAACTAGCAGTAATGTCTAGTAAGGATTCTAACTACCATAAAATAAAGGGGATAACTTTCGGTTCTACCTACATTATCACCTAAAGTAACATAGAGTTAATGTGGTAGCTTAGCTTCATGATGAGAAACGTGAAAGATCATTTAAATTTATAATAAGATCTATACATAGTACAAAAACCTTTCCGTTAGAAATTGTCAAAAACGTGAGACCCCTCGATGCATACGGCAATTAAGCATACTGCAACCGCTGAGCAGAGCACTACAACCGGAGTCAGTCCTGGTGGTGACACGTATATTATGTCTGCCCAAAACGATTTGCTTGGGGACGGATGTTATCACGGAATTATGCTAACATTTGTTTGCACATTGACGTGGACTGTTCGGTATATTCTTGTTGCAGCCATTGTCCAAGCTTATCACGTGACGAATCCTGTAAATAATTTTCCCTAATGAAAAAAGTATAATCAACGAAAATACCCATTGAGTCATGAAGAAAATAAAAGACAGATTCAACGAAGAAAATTTTCTTTATCGACGAAATCATCTTCAGAGGCTGTGCAGTCGTATTTATACTTACAGAAATATATAGTGGTCTCTTATTGAGTAATAAGGGGTGACATAATTCATATAATTACTCAGAAGTGGCTTGAGAAGTGAAAATTAAAAGTTGTAAATCATGTGGTACCCAACAGCACAAAGACAGAAATTTGATAAGGTTAAATTTGCTCTTGAGTGAGAATAGAGGTATTTGAGTGCCAATTTAACAAGTGTGAAGAGGGTGTGAAATGTACAGAAGGAGCATAATAGAGTGATAGTAGTAAATTAATTATTAAAGCAAAAGTAAACTAGAAGTGAAATTAAAAAAACAAGAAAAATCAAAATGTTTTAAAGGGAACGATTAGTGAAGAGGTTAAGACCAAGGTAGAATAAGAGACTGGACAAGCTTTTTCTGTATACAGAGTTCAGGGTTGTATTGATGAATTGCCAGTGCGCCGCCGTACACAAAAGCCGAAACCTTACGTCCTTTGTACTATTTGGCTTAACTTTGTAGATGATCTTGAAAGACGACTCTGGTGGAGCTACGTGGCCTGAGTTCACCAAATGCTCGAGAATTGAACAAGTAATTGTCTCACATTATCCCTTTGCTAACCATGCCGGATAATGTTCAGAGATGCGTTTGGAAAGCGTGCACTTTGTGCGGCCAATATAACTAGCTCCACACGAGCAGGTGTATTTATGAACACATTGAGGTGGCCCGAAGCGGGAGTTTATCCTTCACACATCCGTTGATCATTTGTCAGCTGTAGAAATTGATACGTAGCTCAGCCATAAGGAGGGCTTTCCTCAATATGATTTGCATAAGCGATTCTTCAGGATCTCGGCTGCGGTATCACCTTTAAATTCAAAACTCATAAATAGCAGTTTCTTCGGCACCGTCTGGATTCTTTCAGGCTTTTCCCCTAACTTAGTGTTTTTTTCGATAAATCTTGGAGGATATGAATTCTCTATGAGGACTTGTCTGAGTCGCCCAAGTTCCCCATCGATTCTATCACTTGAACATATCCTCCTTATTCTTGAGGATAAGGAATGGATAAGACTTCTCTTTCTTCTCAAAGGGACCCAGCTATGGAAATTTGTTTACTGACCATTCCATGTTTCCTGTATATTGATCTTTGAAGAGAACCATCAGATCTCCTCTTTAGAAAAACATCCAAAATATGGAATTCCGAGTTAATCTATGATTCCCACGTGAACCTGATGGCAGCTGTTGAACTCTTTAGTTATCAATTCGATGTCTTTATTGTCGTCACATATGATGAAAGTATCATTGGTACAGATGGAAACTGTCGATAGTAGGCCGTAAAATACTATTCTCCAAACTAGCCAAGAAGCAGTAATATAAAATAAAATAGTATAAACTTGTAGGGAAATAATTTACTGCGTTTGTGACCAAGAGAAGAAAACAGCAGAATATTCTGTAAAATCGTATACGCACATTATGCGTACAGTCAGATGGATAGTTATCGGAAAGAATATTAATTAGCTCAGTCTTCTACACGTCCAGCTGAGAACTTGTGACTAAGCATAGGAATAGGCCACTCTTCGTCTTTACCGGACTTCATTACTTTACCAACAAGCGCAAAACCCAGGTCCGATTGCCTGCAACCACTAAACATAAGAATTGACAGATTCAGATTATAAGGCTCTTGTTGCCTGTTATTCTTGGAAATATATACCTCTGTAGAGATCCAGTTTCTCTTTGAAAGCGTTCACCGATGGAGCTTTTACTACTGTATTAGGTAAGGAGTTCCATTCGTTGACCACTCTGGGAGAGAATCTAAATTCCACACGTATTTTATTCGACACATATTGAATTACTCATTCCACCTACTACTGTAATCAAAAGCAATTATTCTGGCTGTTGCTAATTGGTACCTGGGTTTCAAAGTAGAACTGCACCAAAATTGCCGCAGTTCAAGTTGCCACACTTCATAGAAGCACATATGAAAGCAAAGAAACTACAATAAAGGGAAATATGCGGGAGAACGAACAAGTACATGGGGAATCTGATAAGTCTAGAAGTTCATAAAAAGCGAACGTATCTGCGATATAGGGAATTATTGTAATTCATGTCATCAACTGTGAAAAGCTTTTGTTTCTCGACTTTCTCAGCCAGACAGTTTAGACCTCCATATAACTAAACCAACAGTCGAAATCTTCATGAAATGATCTGACTGCCACTTACTCCCGCGAATTCATCCTATGCCACCAAACATTGCAGGCGTAGCACGTATCCTAGCCATCCCAATCGATGCAGCTGGATGCACTTATCGATTAACTGACCCTCATTGGTTCTGTAAGGAATGTATACGGACACGCCAGACTATCTGGAAAATTGATGTAGCAATTCGACTTAAGCACCTAACTTTCACCCAGTGGACCACTCTATCTACTTCGGCCTGGTCAACCAGGTATTATCACCAGCCCTCATATAATAAATCTACCTCATATGACCTGGGAAACTTGTTTCGGCCAACTGACTTTTGTTTCAACGCATGTGTAGGCAAATAGAATAGTGGAATGTTTACTCACTTTTAATGCAGTGATTAAATGTTGCACACAAATAAGGTTTGTCTCAAAATACAACATATTCCCCATGTTCACTTCAAGATTCTTCTTCTTTTGACTCGGACTAAGTTTCTAAGAAATGAAGTGTAAAGCGACGTCGTCTTTCAGTAGCTGCTGTGAGCTATTCTTATTTTTTAAACACGGTGAGTGAATGGTAATGTTTCTGAGAACCGGTAATCATGGAATCAGACTCCGTATGGAGAGAAGTGTGACGAATCAGTCAACTGGTGTTCATTATATCTCTAGCTAATATTTATTCAAAAAATAATTTACGAAATTTACTGTACTCCAAGATATATACTGATGAAGTATATTGCAGCATTAGTTGACGCAACTGACTATGATATACAGGAGGAAAGATGTTGCCCAGTGCTACAATCCCCCCTTCCCAAAGGAAGAACAAATAGTATAAAGGAAATAAGAGTAGTATTTATTTATTCATGTATGGAATATAATAAATGTTTAAATTGACTTAAATCAGTGGGATTAGACGAATGTTAATAGAGGTAATAAATTACGTATGAGAAAACAATGAAAGCCTAAGAAAAAATCCACAAATATTAAGCGTATAATGACGAAAATGTACAGTAAAATACAGTAGTAATCTATATTTAATTGTCATGAGATATTTCACCGTTTGAAAGGCTGTTTCTTGCCCAACACACCTGGATTCTTCTTACCCTTAACACTCTTTGGCTTTCTTTTCACTCCTCCACTGGTAATCTGTTGTGGGACAGATTTCTGAAACAAAGAGTTACAAGTAATTATGAAGCTTTCAAAACATGTTAAGAAATACACATAGGCACCAATTAAAGTAAATTATCAAAGATTTGGGAATTTTACTTTTGAAGGGCACTGCAAACAGTTTTCTCAAAAATAAACCAGTCTTGGTTGATACGTAACATCACTATTTGGAAGCTCTGTCAACCTATATACACTCAACTGCATTTCACTATTTCGCAATTGACTTAAAATTGAGTACGAATCAACAACTCAGCAGAAATTAATGTTTAGGGCTTGAAGCTTCATTCTAACTGTGTAGCGCTGTTCAAGTTAAAAAAGCGACGTTATATGAATCTTCCATTTGTGATTTGGAACCCTTAATATAATAGTCATATTTGCACAAATCCAAGTTACACCTAAAATTTCGGCTGAGATGCATTAAAGACTGTTTAACTAATGGTTAAATGCAATCTAAGGAACCAGTGAATCATTTTTTCCTCTAGGACTGCTATTTTCAGAAATAGTCATGAAACGCGGCGATTAGAAGTAATATTCTAAGATATGTCCATCAAAGCCTTTAGGGAAAAAATGCGAACCACATTATCTGCTTCTGTGTGCGTCGGTGGCACAGTGGTTACGACTCTCGCCGACCATGCACGTGGTCCGGGGTTCGAGCCCTCGCCGACGCACACCTGATATCTATGGTCGGCCTGCGAATTTTGGGCTACCGATATCCACGCTGAAAATTCCATACTTGTACCAAAAAAAACAGTGTGGAATCAAGCTGTAATCAAAAATTAAATTCTCTGTCTTCTAAGAGCGAGGAATACTACATTCAAAATTTCAATTAATACCTTGAATAGTTTAAAAATCGTGTTAAAGTGTGTCCTGTCTGTAATCATTTCTGTTTGACTGCGCTAGTGCCAGTATACAGCTGAAGAGATCGGCACAGAAGTTACTTGTTCTATCAGTGTACACAACAAGTGCAGCATGAGTAACAAAGGTTTTTTTTATGTGAGAGTAAGAGGATAAAATTTGTGAACATCGAAGAACTGTTCGATAAGAAATGAAGACTGTTATCTTAAACTAATAATAATAGGTCAAATTTGCAATTAATAGTGTTCTCTGAGCTGGTTGGTTTAGTTGCAGAGCTTTCGTCGTCCTTCTGGACAACATCTTCAGCGCAATTCTTAGCATAAACTGAACTGATTCAAATTTTCAATGAGTGGTAGAATTGAGTCTTCCGGTAACCGTCTTTACATTACATCAGCCAAAGTGGGCGTCCCCTTCGAATCAGAATCCAGGAACACAAATTAACTGTGAAAAGACGTGATATATACTCTTTCATACCAATGGAGATCAATTTGATTGGGATAATGTCGAAATTTTAGACAGATGAAACACCAAAAGTGCCGGGGAATTCCTAGAAGCCTAGTACTCAAACGAAAATGCAATTAACAAACACGCTAATATAGACGAAATATACCAAATAATAAAAAGTAGATCATGTGACCAGAAAGTTTAAAATCGAAGTCAAAATAAGATGATCAATGCATATGTAAAGATTGTTCTCGGGAGACGCAATTCTATCACTCATTGAAAATTTGAATCAGTTCAGTTTATGCTAAAAATTGCGCCTAAGATGTTGTCCAGAAGGACGACGAAAGCTCTGCAACTAAACCAACCAGCTCAGAGAACATTCCTAATTGCAAATCATCCACCTGAGCTACAAATCTTCTTTATTATTTCAATAGGTCAAATTAACAGGACCCGAAATGATGGATACAGCTTAATTGTGTACATGAGTTACTACAGGAATGTGAACAAAAACATTGCCCTACCACATATATTCTTTCAAGGATAAGGTTTAAGCTTTCAACAATTCATTTAATAATCATCCCCCAACATCCATTGGCAAAATAGTATTAAACAGCACAATTTAGTAGCCAGCAATGGTACATGCGGCAGTGTGCAGAAGCTTCACGCAAATGCTTTACTAACTGAAAACTAAATCCAAGTTTGTAACAGCAGAAGTAGAAGAGAAGGGCGACAAATTTATAGTTTTTGCTGTGGGAATACAATTATGTTGGACATTGAAAACAGATATTGAAACAGAATATGTTTTGAACCATATGCATTCAAAACAACCGATTTCAAAGACGAGTAATATTAAGTGAAGTAAGATTAATTATTGAATTGAATTTTTTTGTTTTTTTGATTTTCCCGTCGATTGATTGGACCGAAGTGTTCGGTCTCAGGTTGACATGTCGGCTTCTTGTGCAGATGCTTCGACAATGTCTGGGGATTTGATTTGTATACAATTGGTCCTATTTGGGACTCGTCAGCTGGATGTACCTGCATTTCTCAGTGAGTGATGATGTTCCCACCGAGGCGAAATGCGCATCCTGGATTCCACTGCTAGCCACCATCCACCAATTGTATACAAATCAAATCCCCAGACATCGTCGAAGCATCTGCACAAGAAGCCGACATGTCAACCTGAGACCGAACACTTCGGTCCAATCAATCGACGGGAAAATCAAAAAAATTCAATTCAATAATTAATATATGACTCGTTGCACAAGAGGTGGCTCTCGTGGCCCAAGTGGTCTAGTGGATAACGCTTTGGCGTTTGAAACTATGGGCACTGGGTTCGAGCCTCGATGGGAACATCATCACTCACTGAGAAATGCAGGTACATCCAGCTGACGAGTCCCAAATAGGACGAAATGCGCATCCTGGATTCTACTGCTAGCCACCATCCACCAATTGTATACGAAGTAAGATTAGTTTGGAGATGAATTACATGTGGTCAGACCAAAATATCATATCAGTCTATGATGACCTGAGCTACCTGGAGGAGTTTGTAGGTTATCTTAGGATGGTAAAAACTGGGTACATATTGTCAAGTGGTGTTGTGGTGAAATTGTAGACAGCGATTTACGCCAATGTTACGTCCCGAATCGGGGTCATGAGGAGAAACAATAACAAAGCTTAACGTTGGGAAACTCGCCAACCAATCACAGCATACTTAACGTGTGCCAATACGATTCTGAGAAACGGTCACAAGCAGTACAGAATAACCTTCAGCAAGAAAACAACCAATCAGAAGACGTTGCTTCTCTGCTAACAATAACGCTAATAATAATGTACATAAAAATCTATAAATATCTGTTGATTTTCTCAATAAACAATCTGTTGCCTGACTCTTGTCTTCTGTCGTTACACTATGACTCAAAACACATAAGTTACACAAACTTGTGTTGGAAGTGATTATGACGTAATAGTTCATATGAATCAAAAGATTTTATATTATCAAAATGAATAAACGAAAGGAAATAGACTAGTAGGATATATCAAACCACTAACCTTGGTTTCAATGTCACCAGCTACGGAAGTAATCCCGGAGTCCTAAAACGGAAAACAACAGGATGATAGTCATTCCTCATAGAAGACAGGTTTATTTGATACACTGAACAATGACATTGTATTATTATTATTTTTATTATTCGATATACCATATTCCTAGTACAATTTATTGATTATAATAATACTAAGGTAGTAATACTACACAGTAATTAGCACAAGGGTCAGATCCGAAATTTTGACAATCATGTCAAATCACAGCGTCTATATGGTTCAGAGACTACGTGCGCGCATCGCCAAAAGCACTTTTAATATATGCTTTTGGTTGATACTAAAGACCAGATGGTCGGCCAGAAAGGATAAGCAACGAGGAACTGAGCCGGTTAGTGACCTATTGCCTAACAAGTATGCAGAATGAAGAGAAGATAGGTTGAGCATGCGATAATTTAATTCTGGAGTGACTTTAATACACAATGCAGACCGAATGGGAACTGAAGAATTAGGCGTCCGATGGTGATATGATGAAGATCATGTGCAGAGGAAATTAAAGCTTGTGGTCAGTGGTGAGACCAGGTGAAAATGGTAGCACAGACAACAACCAGCAGTTTTCCACTTGACGCATTCGGAATACAGTGCAAAAGCGAAACCAGGGGAGCTGCCAACGTAGTACGTGGCAACGGAACACTTTCTCGACGTTGGATAGTCATGTACATTTATAGGTTGACTCCAGTTAATTACCTCTTAAAAGATGAAGGATGATAGTTTTTCATTTTTTTACGAATCAGTTAGAAAACAAGAGACGATGACTATAAGGGACGATTTAATGGAGATTTGTCAAGTGAAGAGTAATGCCACAGCCTACTAGCCAGATATGTACGGAGACAAAAATGTACACAGTACAGTTGTGTTCGTCACATTTGTGCATTTATCAATGGAGCCACTTATGTGAAAATAGTTACACCGGGAGAATTACAGAACAACATACAGAAAGTGTCACAGAAGATTTCTGTTGTGGTTTGGTGAAGGACAGATTGTTATTGACATAAATAGGACAGAATATAAGGCATCTACAGTTTTACCATATAAGGAAGGGATATCTGAAACCCTACGTAGGATTCTTAATAAGGCGGGAATGGGAGTGGCATTTAAACCTACCAAATCACTCAGTGACAAGTTCTGCAGATTAAAGGACTCAGTTGATCCAATTAGACAAAATAATGTAATTTACAAAATACCTTGCAATGACTGAGTTAAGTCAGCTACATAGGAGTAGTCAGATTGTCGGAACATAAGAATCCAGCTAAGGCTAGAATGATTGATCCCACGAAGATAAGTAACTTAAAAAAAAGATCAGCAATCGCACTGCATGCATTAACACACAATAGGTTGGGAGAGGGTTGAAATCCCTAAAAGTAATATAGGTAGTTGGAGAGACAGGCTGATTACTAAATCCTTGTTCACCAAGTCTACACCCAACACGTGAAATAGGAATGACTCATCATTAATACCAGAAATGTGGAATATATTATTAAGCGATGAAAAATAATGGAATTATATAAACGAAGTTGGAAAGTTGTGTGAGTGCCTTGATATGATTATGAGCAATAAATTGTGCTCGAGACGTCATCAGTAAATATTACTGTACAACACTGTAAGGCTTTATAAAAATAAATTTTACCCGCAATGAAATAATACTTCACCATAGTGAACAAGTTCCATTCTAATATCAACAGATTAAACCCGTTCGAATCTCTATTTTGTCACCTTTAGTTGATATTAGCCATTTAATAAACGAAACGAAGGCACTCAAGGTGATTCATTGTATCCCTTCGAATATTTTAAATGCTCTTCGTATTCGCCTAGTGCATACAGACAAGGCAATTAGCATTCGAAGTACTGAGTCAGGGCTATGCATTCACAAGTTTGTACAGCCATTAACCAGCGAAAACCTAACTAACTGATTATGCCATGGTCACTATTTATACATTTTTAATCGCTTCCTTACCAATTTTTGTCAACCTTTCCTTAGTCTTATTGCAGCTTTATTAAAACTTAATTCAGTTTACTTTTCTTTTACAATTCAGCATTAAGTTATCTAAGTGTTTTCTGGCCCTCATTTTTCACTATCCTTATTAACACAGATTGCTCGATTTCTCACCTTTGTTATTAATAAAATTATTATTATTATTATGACAGACTGTACAACTTGTGTACACAATCCAACCGTTCTACTCAAAAATCACCATGATTCATTAATATTTATTAATAAGTTATGTATATTTACAGTAAAACCTCATGAGAACTAATTTTAAAAAAACATCGTCCCCCTACACCAGTAGTTCCAGGAGAGTGTAAGTAAATGAAGACATCTAAAATGCATTTACCGCTCAAATTGCAATGTATCGAAATTAAAAAAATTTCAAACACACTCTTCTTTTGAAAGAAAGAGAAATACAAGTGTAATAATTAAAGCACTACAACTAGTCGTATAATACTTATAATAAACAGTAACTTACTAGTCCATTGGTCGAAACAGAAACCGCATCATGATCACCACTTGTTGATTCAGGTTTGAAAGACGAGACCTGTTCTTCAATAAATGTTGATTCATTGAAGTCTGTAGTGAAAGAAAAATCCTCACTAGGGAGAGGAATAAACGCTAGATCATTTGCATCTTGAAGATTTCTGTTCAAGCGATATTCTTTCAGAATACGTCGATAAGATGCAGTTTTAGGAAATTCCTTTGGATATGAAAAGCTTCGATACTGTGGTGTTTCACCTGTTGGAACATAAATATGATAATTTCCTTTAAGCATATCTTCCATCTCTCCTGGTATATTGCTTAAATCTGTTTCGACAGCTTCAAAACCTTGAGTGAACTGTGAAGGGAGGGAAAAATATGATATATTAGAAGGTTATATTAACATTGTAGTGAAAAACGAATGTTGATAATGCCATTTGACTTACTTCCTTACTGAATTCGCAGCCAGCGGTTTCTAAACCTAACAGAACACGGGTATGATTTTGCAGAGGATTGAAAACATTGTTATGCACAGAACTCTCTATGTCTTTAGTGAGACCAAATGCGTGACCGTCAATATTTTCCTGATTCTGCATTTGCCAAATCGACGCCCTTTTCAAGAGATTTCCACCAAGACCATTGCAAGTTAAGTGTTCCGCGCCTTTGCAAATATTTTCCAAGCAACTTCCTACGTCTTCTTTCAGTTCGCCATGATCATGTGAAATAGTGTGCATCATATCCTTCAAATGATTTACAGACAACTTATTCGAGTTATGTGCCATACAAACATCATCCAAGGTACTTTGTTGTGTACTGAATAGAGAAGATTTCATTTCTTCAACTTTGCTTTGATTGGATCTTGAAAATTCTGTCAGTCGAGATAAGCGTAACGACAGTTGTTCTGAAATCTGTCAACGTAATAAAATTAATATGATTATGAACAATAAATTTTATTGGAAACGTCATGCAGTAAGTGATAGTGTCTCACTGTGGAGTAATACAATTAGAAAGAGATAATGACAGCAACACTTTTAAAATGAAATAATCATTAACACATTGGGCTGTAAAACACGGATGAATAAGTTCGAAAACCCGAAAGCTTTCAGAAAAAAACGGGATAATTTAGATGTGTTGTGAGCTGGTGAAGAAATAAGGACTGAAGGGGAATTATTTCACCAAAGTGGTTGGGATATCTGCTATGCTAACTTATTTTCATTAATGGGTGAACAAATCCATAGTGCAAGGCAGTGATTTCGTTGTTTTGTTGTTCGGAATATGCCTAAATAAATAAACTAAGAAACTCATAACTGTAATGAAAATAAACTACAGATCACATTCATCAACTAAATATTACACTAGTGTGTCAACCAACATTTTCGAGGATTTACGATTCTTCAGTCACCACCCACTATACCAAAAGTTGATCTGTCAGTCTAACACTCCCGGTCTCCTCAATAATCAACAGCCTAATTGGTGGATGGTAACTAGCAGTGGAATCCAGGATGCGCATTTCATCCTATCTGGGACTCGTCATCTGGGTGTACCTGCATTCCCCAATCAGTGAGTGATGATGATGTTCCCATCGAGGCTCGAACCCAGTGGCCATAGTTTCAAACGCCAAAGCGTTATCCACTAAGACCACTTGGACCACGAGAGCCACCTCCTGTGCAACGGGTCATATTAATTTAATTGAACTTGATTTTCCGTCGATTGATTGGACAGAGGTGCTCGGGCTCAGGTTGACATGTAGGACGAAATGCGCATCCTGGATTCCACTGCTAGTCACTATCATCCATCCACCAATTAAATACTAATTAAATGCCTAAACATCACCGAAGCATCTGCACAAGAAGCCGACAAGTCAACCTGAGACCGAGCACTTCGGTCCAATCAATCGACGAGAAAATCAAAAATTCAATTAAATTAACAGCCTATTTCTCTCATCATACTTCAGTATGATTAGAATTCACCGGTGATATTTTACCTGTGCATGTAGTGTAGTGATAAACAAACAGCTACACTCCATTCATTTACATGAAAGCTAGACGTCAACCGAGAAGATTGCAATAAAACAACCGCCTGGTTAGCATCTTAGTCTCTAATTTCATTTGATAATAGAGCGCCTTATTCTAAGTCATACTATGCTCATCAACACACATATACACAGTGTCTGTCATAATAATGCTGCTTAGTTTTTTTTGGCTTAAGCCTAACTGCAACTTCATTTATTGATTAATACATCCAAGATATGTTTGACAGTTAGAACAGAGATTGTGGAATCAAAATAAGTCCTGTACTTACACCTACTCCAAAAATTGCAAGAGATCACACCGCTATTACGTAAACAAAAGTGGACACTGTACACATTGTGAACAGACAACTGGCCGAAAATCGTGAAACAAAAGTGATCAGTTTAGAACATGTCATGTTGACGTGTTACAGCAGAGACGCAGTATGAATATTTTAACGATAGCTTCAAGAATAAAAGTCTATTTTGATTAGCTTAGATGAAGAATGTACATATGGGAGGAATAAGTAGCCATTGCTCTGATACTCTCTTAACACACAATTCGTGAGATATTGTCAACTATACTGGAGAAATTCGTAGCATTTCTGATGTTCAGTAGGTACTAAGAGTTTTTTGGAGGTAAACTGACCATTTTCAAAAGACAAGCAAAATATCAAACTTTAATTGTAATTCTTAGGGGAGGATTTTTACAACAACAACTAGAAAGTTGTCTCATAAAAACAAACTATGGAAAATTAATCTGATGCTCGCTAGTGACTTACTACAGGTTGGAGTTTCCTGAGTTCTAGTGAGAAGTCGTGATCAGTGAGGTCCAACTAGATGCTACGTGTGTGGATGGATGTCCCACCAATGACAATGGTTGGGGCCGCGCTAAATCACGAATTGATGGAAGTTAGAATTCATGAGCCATTGAATCGGGTCCGAGTGGCTGAATGGTATACGAGCTAGCTTGGCTTGTAACCTGGGTTCGAATCCCAGTGGGTGCGTACTGCCGATGATTCCTAAACTAGGATGAAACAGCAGCTGTCTGATAAAAGAAAAAATACTGGGGCTAACCTAAAGAAAAGAAACCACAAGGTGAGACAGCACCAATGACCCTTGAATGCGTACCATCAAGGTGCAATATGATGAACACTGTGCAAGAATTGATGTGAAAACTTTATTCTGATCTTGTTTGCACAATGGGTTGATAGCACATTAGGGTTAGGCTCATGGTCAAGATTAGCGTTAAGACAAGGACTAGAGTTGGGTGTTTTATTATTATTACCTGTTTTTGTTGTGAATAAATAAATGGCAGGAGTGTTTCTTTTTTTCGTATAGATGAAACCGTTTTGATACCTATGTGACCTGAAAACTGATACCCTTCATTGTAATTGGGAAGTACCTTCCGGTTATGCAGGAATAAAATATCACCTTCAATGTGTTTCATTACTGTTATGTAAAAACTTTTCTCGTCAATAAACGGTTTATTGATATATAATACACGATAGATTCTGTGATCCAAAGAATGACACGAGTTCAAGGTCATTGGTGCGTTCTCACCCCGTGATCGCAACTTTTTTTATGTTCATCAATACTGGATAGATGTTTCATCCTAGTTTAAAATTTCTCCTCCAAAGATTTTAGAGGTAGCATACAGTCAGAGTCTGAATTGTAACATTTGTTATTTTCAAAAGTTTCCAGCTTTTATATGCGTATGACACCGCCTTATGCTTAAAAACTTAAAACGGTAAACGCAACAGTTAAAACTTACAAAAACAAGTGAAAGAACAAACTTACTGAATCATGTTTGGTAGTTAACATTTTCACTTTATCCTTTAGTGATTCGAGTTCCTAAAACAAGAAAATATTTTCAGAGTTCATTAGCAGTTTTTGTGGATTGACAGGACAATAAAAAAGTATAACTTGACATGCGCAATTAAATAAAACACTCCACCACAAGGTAAATGATAAAGATGATTAAATTACCAACTTAAACTAGAAAGTCTATCTAAACAGATTATACATACTAATATATATTCAAATCTTAAGTAAAACATATTCTGGTAAATATTTGGAAAGTACTTCCGTCAACCACTGTTGCTGGTTAGATAATAAATCATTATGTTCTGGTTAGCAAGCACATTATTCATCCACATTGAATGCCTTTCAACTACTCAATATCAATTAGTAAAATGTACAACCTAGCCACATCACTTAATAATAATAATAGCTGTATCCTAAACAGGACTTTTGGTACATATACGGAATTTTCAGCATGCAGTACTGCAGCTAATATTCTCATTACAGGGGTAATAATTAAGACAGGGCATTTACTTTAATAATATTATTCCATAAGAAATGAATATAAAATCAAATTAAGTGAAAATACCCACAGCAATATGTTAAATTATTATTAATGTTCCCCTTGGGTTCCTAGTGGAACATAGAGCTTCAACTGCGCGTCTCCCTCCAATTGCCACTTCTGTCTTCCTTCTGCTGTACTTTTAACCTGCATCCATGTTAGTTATTCCATACTGTTTCAACTCCTCTTCACACGATCTCCTCCATGCCACACTTGCACCCGCTCCCTGCTTCCATTTCGGCCTGGTTCCACTTCAGCAATGGCCTGACGCGCGCGCGACATCACCCAGTGGTCTCTTCAGTGAGTGTCCGACCCATCTCCACTTTCTCTTGCATATTTCTTGGTTGGCGATTGGTTCTTGTTTTGTTTCTTCTCAGCCATAGTTTCTTGTTGATGATTTTTTCCGGCCCGGCCGTCTGATCCTCAGTATAGATCCAGCGAAGACAGTTGTTGATAAAGGTGGCGTCTGCAACAGGCTGCTGGAAATATTCTTTGTGACCCCCCCCGTCAAGTTTCTGATCCGTATAGAAGAAGTGACTGACTCGACGCTGTTTGTATTGAAAATCTGACCGAATTTTGTTGTTGATGCCGAGTGACAGCGGAATATTTCCAGATTGGTTTCAGGTTGATGAATGTGTTTCTCGCTGGCCTTCCCGATTCTCGCTCGATTTGACATCCTCGTCCGTTCCAACTGCGTGTATTTGAGACAATGCTCCCTAGATAAGTGAATGAAGTAACCTCTTTCAAATCCCTCCTGTTGATGGTGGGTGATTGGCGCTGGATGTTGCTGTTGTTGTTAGTTGGTTATTTTCATAACCTCCGTCTTGTCTATGTTCACCTGGAGTCCTGTCTTCGCCGGCTGGTTCTTCGAACAGTTTGTCGGTTTTCGCTTGTAAGTCTTCGATTTTGTGTGACATCAAACATAAATCATCCACTCGCGAAATCCAGGTCTTCTAGGTTCTTCACGTCGGTTGGTCCAGGATATCCCTGTCTTCTCGTTTCCCACTGTCTGACGCATGATCCAATCCACCACAACCAGAAATGTTATTGAGAGAATAAATAGGGCTGTTTACCTGGAGTTCCACAGTACTCTGGTAATTTTCTGCCTAACAATTTTCTCATCACATAGAATATGTGCTAAATAAGGTATTGTAGAGTTTTTATACTTAGTCGTGCGAGCATGAGATCTTATAGATGCTCCCAGTTCTACCTGATGAGATGCAAGGAGAGAGTTGTGTAATAGAGACGATGTTAGGAATTGGACAAGATAATATTTGCTTTCTTGCAGCAGTCCACGTATCCCTCTATAAAAGTATTAACGAACTGGTTTAGTAACATCCCACTCGCCCTACTGATGGCCTCTAATGATTTTCACAGTATAACAAAATCTTTCCTAAGTAGTCCGGAAAATATTAAGGGGGAGTAGTAAAAATGGATAGACAGAATGGAAAAAATTAACAAACGATAACAGTAGGGACGGAATGATACCAGGTCGTCTTGACTTTCTCACGTAAAACTCCAAACGAAATATTTTTCTGGAAACTAACATGATGTGGGAAGACCAGAAAAGATCAGAGGAAATACACAGTCCAAGGTATTTAACACCCGATTTAGTTTCAACTTCAGTGCCATCTATGACATTGAAACCAAGCGAACGTACCAGTTCATGTAAGTCACGCTCGCATCTGAAAATGAAACTAACAACCTGACATTCAGAGACATTAGGCTCAAGACCATTTGACAAGGACCACTGACTAATTTCTAACAAAAAGTCATTCATTTTGGAACAGTCTGACTGAGAAGTAAGGGACACAGATACAGTCAGACCATCGGCATACTTAGCAAAACTGGCTTCATCAGAATGGGGTAAGTCATGTAAGAAGGAAAACAGGAAAAGAGAAAGCACAGCTCCTTCAGGAATACCAGCTAGAGTAAGTGAAGCAGTGGAGGACTTTCCATTGTAAGCAGAGTACTGCCTCCTATCAGATGAATAGAAATGCAACCACTTAATAGTCCAGCACTATTTGTGTCGCAGCAAGCTTGTTCAACAAAAGAGGCCTAGGTATAGAGTCAAAGGCAGATGTGTAATCTAGGAAGGCACACAGAACATATTTGGCACCTCTATCTAAACTAGAGACAATATTATGATATAGGACGACATCATCATCTAAAGTACATCTACTATGTTTATACGCAAATTGATTAAGGTCGTTAAAAGCCTTCAATGAAGGTTTAAGGCTACGTAAAAGAAGTTTTTGCCACTATTTAAAAACAAAGTGAAGTAATGGCAATATGTCTAAAGTTAATGCTCAGTTGCTAGATGACTTAGGCACGGGAACAATTTTAATGTCTTTTTACTCCGCCTTAGATTGCTATTTATAGTATGAAGCAAACTACATATTTTGAACTGAGTATCAAGAGCTATTGTTTTCTGAACACACAGTTTGAGATTCTTGTGGTTAATTTAACTGATAATTCAGCATCCAAGCCCACATACTCTGCCATGTCCGTTATTCTTACCTCTAGAACATTTTCACTATCATGTCCATGACTGAAGGATGAAATAGTATAGACCATAATTCATGTTGTATTTACAAGTTATAGAAACATACATTATTATTATTATATCCTTTAATTCCTAGAGGAACATAGGGCTTCAGCTGCACATCTCCATCGCCTTCTGTTTTCTGCAAACTTTTTCACCCTGCTCCAAGTCTGCCCACATGCTTTCATCTCCTCTTCATATCACCTCCTCCAAGTCACCCTTGCACTGACGACCAACTCGCCGCTTCCCGTTCGGGTTTCACTTGAGCGTCTTGTGATGTCACTTGATGGTTTCCTCAGCGTATGGCCAATCCATCTCCATTTCTTCCTGCCTATTTGTTGCACAGTCGGTTCCTGCTGGGTTGGTTCGCTCCCAGAGATCCCCGTTGCTGATCTTTTCTGGCCGGCCATCTGATCTTGAGTATTGAGCGAAGACTACTGTTAATGGTCTGTAGTTTGTTTGAGATGCTCTTTATGACGCGCCAAGTCTCTGATCCAATCGTATACAGCACTGACTTCACATTGGAGTTGAAAATCCGGATCTTATTTTTGACGCTGAGTGCTGTTAGAACATACATACATAGAACCAATAATCTTCCCATGTTGTGGGAAAGAACGTTTACCTAAGTGGCTATTAAGTGAAAGACAGTGTTGCGAAATTCCCTTCCGTTCACTAGTTTACCATGCTATAATCTATTTAGACCGATTTCTTTCATTCGAAAACTACTGCGTCTACACGATAGGGGGTGTTTAAACAATCTTCACAGACTTGTGAAAACTACTATGTGAGTTGCATAGTTAAATCTATTAGATATTATTATTTTTTAACATTTTAACATCATAACCTTTAATGTCCTATTAGTGGTCAGATGTAATTTTAGAGCTTCAGAAGTAAACAAGGGGTTCAAAATCATACAAATATTTGTGGAAATAATGCTGCAAACTCTTAAAATAACACGAAATCTATATGATGATATTTCAGCATTATATCGACATACAAAAGCGACAATTGCATAATTTTAGACTTTGAAGGTTACTAAAATATCTACACATTTTCACTAATACACATTGGTAAGTAATGTTTTTCTTTCTTTTCATTTTATGAATTAAGCCTGGAGACCTGTTGATTGAACAATTTCGAAATTATTCCCACTGTCAAATAAACTGTTGTAAATACAAACCATTATTTCCTAAAATGTTGATAATTAGTCCTGACATTTAGTTGGTGGGGTCGGTCTATGTGCAAATTTCATTTACTGCATTACCAGTTCTACACCAAGTAGCGTGCTAAGATTCCAGTAGTTTGAACTGATTCAAACTCTTCGAACTGAGTCAGACTGGGTGCATCGCTAGTGAACTCAGCTTCAAATGAACGAGACGGCCTGCCGGTGTTTGGATCACACTTCGATCCGGTTAGGAAACACTACTTGGTTAATGAGTGACATCTAACTACGCCCATCCATCAATCAATAGTGTATAGGACACGCATTCAAGCCATTATCACATAGTTATTGATACTCACTTCGAGCAGTTTATTATGTTGCACTTTACAGCAGTCCATTTGATTCTGTATTTCTTTATCATATTCCGCTTCACTTAGTACGAATGAAGCTGATAGTGAAGCGAACTGATCCAGTTGTTCGATAGTAGAGTGTAATTTTTGATCTGATTCACGATAAGCAGCTACCTAAAAGTAAAAAAAAAGTTGAATGGAGGAGATTAAGGTAAATAAATCCCAATACCTTTATGAGTGAAACCAATTAATGATGTGTTATTATCCATTGATATTATATATAAAACAAGACTTCTATACATTCTGAATATTGTCACTGGGTTTCACATTGTGATCCAGAATCACAAACAACTGGTTATAGAAGTTGTCTGAGGATGCACTTCAATTTGATCTGTTTTCTATTAATTGAGCTTTTGTGTATAGGTGGGAGTGACTAAGAAATATTAGGACATCTGGTTTAAACTGGCCACAAAGTCACATTTGAAGAGTTCTTCTCCATCAACTGTCGGGTACTTAACAAAGTACTGCATACTCCGAAACAGCAGAGGCTAACGCAATCCGCCTGGGACAACTGGTGGTCTGTGTGAAGAAGAAACAGGTTCAACCACCATTACTCCTTTGGCCTGCTGTGGAGTCTACAAATCTATAAATACCTTATTACACTGGCCTTTCTGATATGATCCTTCGTCCTGTACACATAAATTCCTCTATCTCTTGTCATTACACTTGTATTAACTAACCTTTTGTTTTCTCATTTAAACGTAGTGATTAACGTATCCACTAACATACGCACAACGCACATAAAACTCAACCCCGAAAATCGTTTTTCTCTACCGCTGTCCTTGACATGATCACGCATCCATCTGAAATTCAGAATCAATATCCTATCTTGTCGTCTGCTGCGTCGGACATCACGATTATATTTCATGAAATCGACTATCTACAATTTGCACTGCGCATCAGCCAGTGTATTTGGGGACGGAGTTTCTGATGATACATGCTTTTTACTGCATACGTAAGTGATACTTGTGACCTAATTCCTCAAAAATTGGCAATAAATTGTGTTCAAAACGTCATCCAGTATACAATACTGTTTCACTGTGTGATACATTTAATAATCAAACTAATATGGAATTACTTAATACCACAGTGCCCAAGTTTTACACATATATCAAAATATTATCGTTTCTCACATGGAGCTGTACTCAAAACACATAAAATAGCCTTTATCATTTAAGCTAGGAGTATTTTTTGATGACAAATTATATGGGAAGTCTACGCTACAATTACAGATCAAACTCAACACATTTTAAGTTCGCATGGCGATATACCAGCTAAGACACATCAGACAACTCTATATAAAGGTGAATCTGGTTGAAAAAAATATAACTGAAAATCACTTATTACTCACAGACCAACAATAGTTAGATGTAGACATAATTCATCATTCAAAACCAACAAAGCATAAAATATTTGTCAACATAATATAAATCAACTATTATCATGTAATGTTTGGCATAAAGGATGCTCAAGACGAAGTCTGGAAAGTGTTACACTTGTTACAATGTGAATGTACACAGTAGAAAATCAATCAGTGATATCCATTCGCTTTGCTTCAGGATGCTCAATAAAAATTGAGCACTTCGCGGAAGATTCCTCGGAACTGTACATTGTGTTCCTTATTACGAAAGACTGAGATACATTTTTACTCCCTCTAAGTTCCTCTGTTGCAACAACAATACTAGTCTTGGGTTATTCAGAAATACACCGCATACCATAATGCCGAGTAGAACTAGCATTGCACTGCAGACAGGTCAGTCAAGTAAGTGGCTTAGTGATCCAACTTGATACATCCGCATACCAACTTGTTTATAGTCAGACAACAAAGAAAACCCAAACCAATGTTCCGTCCGTTGATCGCCATCAGTTTATGCCGGGAACATAATTATGACAGTCTAGGCATTTTAGCGCAATGTGACAGTATACTGCTATTAAGAACAACAAAACTGTTTTTTATAATCCCTTTGAGTTATGAAAGTTAGAATAATTACTTTTTCCGCATAAATAACCTAAACATGTAAAAGTGATGTAAAGAAATGTGACAAAATATTGTAGCACTATACCTGAGTAGCGAAATTCCGATCCAAATCATCTGCGCTATTGGTAAGAGATGTAAGAAGTTCCTGAAGAGCTTTAAATTTCGGAACTATGATTGTTTCAAGACAAGTTTTTGCTTCAGTAGCCTGGTTATCAGAGAACTCTTTGAGTTGTCTAGCATCATCTGTACACTCATTGGCCAAAAAAGTACGTAACTTCTGTATCATTTGCCGTTGCACCTGTACTGTTTCACACGCTGATTGTACAAGTTTCTCTCTTAAGTCATCTTGGAATAAAAGAGTAGACAATCTTACCGAGTAAATGGATACGATTATTAAAAGAGTAAGAAATATTCACTGTTGTAAGCAGTGGTCTACTCTTAATCTACTACCACTTTTTGTTTGCATGATAAAGGCAAACACTACCAGGGGGATTTAGTTAAACTGATGGATAACATAATTTAAGCTGTAAAGCATTCTTTTGTTACAGACTGAGACCTACATAACTTCTATTTAAAGGAGAACTGCAGTGATAATTGTGAGTCATTTTCTGTACACATGCATTCTGCGCTTTTGTCAATCTGAAATAAGGGATATGCAATTATTCACTTAAGAATATGCAAAAACCACCGTCGGTGTCTTTTCTTCACATCTACTTCACACTAATCACTTTTCAATCATAAACTGAATGTCACAATCCTGTTAAGAGAAAAACATTTTTCACACCATGATACACCCATTGACTGGGTATTGGTTTTCAGGAGAACCAAACACACGCATCCTTGCCTCTTGCGAGACGAGAACGGCATGCAGGATCATCCTGTGGCGCAACCACTCGAGAGCCCTCTCCCTCGGTGGACCAAAAACATTTTTTTCAAAAAAAACCTTTGCATTCTGGTGTCAACACAACCAGAAGTCGCTGATTCAGATGGTCAGTCAAAATACTATCACTGTTATACAAATAAATTTAGACAATTAATGTAGTCAACATACGCCAAATTACTCTTCAGGTTACATCCTCAAACATCACCGAAGCATCCACACAGGAGCCGATATGTCAACAGAGGACGAGCACTTCCCTCTAATCAATCAAACTGGAAAGTCCAAATTGAATTGAATAAGTAGTGATTCGAGACTTCTTTTCTGGCCACTAAACAGGATCAGTTATCGTTTTAAAACAACTTATATTAAAATATTTCCATATAACTTACAACCGAACAGTCCAGGATATTATTCGGTAAACTGACGGTACTTGGAGAATAATTATAATTCAATGGATCTAGGAGTTTGTAAGTGCGTCAGTGGTTCAGCAAAGTAGGATGCGTGCCATTCATACATGCAGTCTAGGATCTGATCTACTAAAAACTAGTTTAGCAGGGAGCAAGGGAAAGTTGGGCGTGAGACTAACACCCCCACCAAATCCCGTAAAAAAGGAATAACGCCACTGCTACTGAAAAATGAAAGCTAAAAGTTTGAAGCATGCATTCATAGCTGAGCAGCATCTTAAATATGGCATAATATATTTCTGCTTTTTGTTTACCTCTTTATGTGGTAAGAGGTAAACGGAAAGCGAACATAGGATTATTGATATGATTACGCTGTTTTTCTCTTTTACATTTACGTAAATGAAAACAACTTGAGCAGATGTCTTTAAGGCGGTACTATGCACCCAAATGATTTTATTTTTGGTTCAAATTGTGTACAGGTGCACTTACCTTCTTTGGCTTTAAGTGTGAAAAACTTTTGCACATGACAACACTAATAATTCATTAGAAAAAATTAAGAAAGGCAAGTCGACTATTTCGGCCGATACACAATGCATTTTTTTAACAAATCTACACCAAATAGTTTTAGCGACAAAATTTGCCCATCTTTTGGAACATTCATAAATCGAAAAAGTAAATATGTGGAGTCTGGAACAGTATAGTTCTTGTTAGATGTTAAAAATAGAAACATTGTACATAACTTTGAGGAACAATCTGAAATACTGTGTGCTGCTTGTCACGTCGTCTCCTCACAGGTCTATTCTGTCTGCTTGCTTCACCACCAACCCTCTTGTATAGTATGAATTTTGCAGGAACCTCCCCCTCATCCGAAGACTGTTCTACAACCGGTGCACAGCTTCTACTGATGGGCACGACTTTAGCAGTGAACGCTTTTGTGGATTATATTAACAATTTGTAGCAGCGGACTTTAACTGTACTACCAAGTAACCAATAATTTATAACTTGTTAACTGTATTATTTATAATATACTGTTACAATATTTCGTCACTAACTTATATACTCCTAATTGTTGGTCAGAAATTGATGTGTTGGGGAAGTGCTACGCATCGTAACACGAAACTGCTGTGTGTACTGAAATTTAAAATGAAGTACTAGATATAAGTAAACAAGACACCTAGTGCAGAGAAGTGTACTTGTAGTCTTCCGGAAATTTACGTTCTCTGCAAGATTGCGTAGTCTGTAGAAGTGTCACAGACAGGGAGTTACTTACTATGCCATTCAGGGCAGATCTCAAGAACTAATTTTACAAATGTCGTGACGGCAATTGGAGAACCTTATACTACAAGTTACACTATATTACCAGTCTTTTTCTCTCTAGAAAAAATATTTCACTAGAATGCAATCCATTCTTTTCTAACAAGTTGAATCAGACACCCAAAATCAGTTAAGTTGACAATCAGTGTGAATAGGAATAAAGAATATTTGAATAGTCCTCTGACTGAGCACAACATATGTCTAAAAAGCAATCAAAACCAACTAGTGTACTTACTTGTGCTATCACGAACATAATAACAGAAATGCTGCATTTCCGAAGCAAGTGCAGAAATATCAGAAATTGAAGGTTTTAAACGCTCAGGTAGCCAATTATTGGGCAACGTATTCAGACGCTCGAGATTTTCTTTATCCAGAACAGTAAGGCGGGCCACCTTTTGGTGCAAACCGTTAACATCACTAACAGCAGTATCTGCTGTTGATAATAATGAAGTTGTTTGTTCATGAAGAAGTGATTCAGTTTTTTTATGCTCCTCACGCAGATAATCTGTTTCTTCGTAACGCTGTTTTAACTTCAAGAATCGTGCACGTAGAGTCTCCTAGAATAGATATATATCGATATTATAATTAAATTAGTAATATACCTTCACTTGTAAGTAATGAGTTAATTTTTAATACGGTTAGTAGATCACTGTCTGTCTGTTTTTGATATAGAACTTTGCACATATGTGCGGAAGTTCAAGTCGCCACACTCCCTCCATGTAACACACGAAGCAAGAGAAGAAAGTACAAGAAAAGCATAATAGAGACAGTAAGCAGAGGTGTGAGACAAAGGAAGAGTAATAATGAAGAACAAAACAGTTTCATTGGAGATCATAAGTCACAAGGAGTGGATGCATCTTCGCCAGCCATTGAGAACGATTTTGAGCCATGTCACCAATTGTTTCCAACCACTGATTTTTACCGTCCCGAGGACCCCAGCCTGGAAGTCTACACCTTCCTACGTGGCTTAGACTAACTGTTGTAGATTTCATTGACTGGTGGCATGTTTTTGTTTGACCTCCGCTAGCTTTTTTCCAGCCTGACCCTATATTCGCTAACATTGCTCGTCGAGGAAGGCAATAACTAGGCATACGTAACACATGTCCTAACCATCACTACTAAGTTAACAATTGTCTGTCAATCACATGTGAAAGTTGAGATTTTGCTTTACAAACCTGAGTTTTCAGCACTGGTGTACGGGTCTTTGATACCTCATAGGGAAAACTGTACAAAACTCCAAGCCTATTATTATAATATTATCATTCCCTTGAGTTTTTAGTGGGACATAGAGCTTCAACAACATATCCCCACTTTGTTCTGTTTTCTGCCATCCTCCTCAGCTGGATAGCTCCACGACCGACCAAACTCTCTCATCTCTTCCTCGCCACACGATCTCCTTCATGTCACCCTCGAACTGACGGCCCACTCGTCGCTTCCCACTTGGATTCTAATCAAGACATTGCCTGGCGTGCGATGTCATTCGGCGGCCTCCTCAATGTACGCCCGATCTATCTCCACTTTACCCTACAGATTTGTTGAGCGATCGGCTCCTGGTTGGTTTGCTCAGATAGTTTCTTGTTGCTTATTCTTTCTGGCCATTTAATTTTCGGTATGGAGCCAGTGACCATACACAGTATTTCCAAACAATAGAGTCAATATTGCAAAGTACCTTCAACATAGTTAAGGACGCGAACATTCACCGGTTTCAATACTATGATAAGAATTTGTGAATATTTAGTCTAAGCATAAGTCGGCGATTTATCACAGGTTTATGCGCTACGCTATTAACCCACGTTGTGTGAAGAGTTATGACAACATTCGACTGCCCAGTCTGAAGTGGGACAGCAACATTTAGTCTAAGCACTACCGGACGAAATTCAATTTACTTGAGCCAATTAGCTATACGTTCATTCACACACTATAATGTTAGAACTTACTAAATCTTTTTGACAAGCAATCAATTCATTTTCCACTTTTTCTTTAAGCATGCGCGTTTCATTGAGCTCTTCTTGAGTAACAGTGAACAATTCTTGAAACTGGTGGATTTCCTCTAATAAATTTTCTTTTCTTTCTTCAAGTGCGCTATAATGTAAACAGGTTAGAAATGAAAGGAACGAAGGAATGTCAACATAGAAGACTCCCGAAACACTAAAGGATATTACACATAAAACGGCATATCACTGACACAAGTACACTAAAAAATATACGGACACAAAAAGCATATCAATCTGTTATTTTACTCCGCGAGCTTAAAAGTTTTCGAAAATTAGCAATCACCCAGAAGATTTCGCAGCATTGCGAATAAATCTCTGACCCCATCCTCTTATTGGGAATGCTGACAAACTGATATTTCCAACACGGAAGTATTGAACAGTCTAGACTAGTCACTTCACCTTATTTCTAGAAGCTAAAGGCCGATGGATTCTGACATCATGGCAGCCGGGAATTCATGGAAATGTCATTTATCAACTCTCCGACGCATACAGTTGATTTTATGTTACCAAAACAGTATTGTCTAAAGTATTTGTAGTGACCGAAAATAGCGAGTTATGAAATGTAACTCGGATGACAACCCCAACCACACGAAGCATCGAAATCTAGTCTAACAGGCACAGAAACCAAAATCAACTTATATTGCCTGTCGGCTTAATTTCGGAAAAAGTGGCTCTTTATATTCATGAAAAAATCACGACAACAAAGTGAGTAACCCCATACAAGTTCATGGCAGTTATTAATCACTAGATAGATGATATACAACTCATAAAGGTAATTAATAAGTGGGAAGCCGTTTAGTATGACAACAGTATAGAAACAACTCGTGGCAAATTAACTCACTCTATGCGACTTCTTTGGTCGGCGATCTGTGATTGTAACGCCCTGTAATTGTCCTCATCTACAAAAATGCCATTTTTCGTCCTGGCAGCATCGAGATCTCGTTGTAAACGCTCTAATTCTTCGTTATAACATCTTACTAGGATGCTTTTGTTCAGCCGCGCATTAATCTCTGGTCGGTTTTCAATATTCTTAGCTCGGTGAGCATAGTCTAACGTTGAAAGTGTCTCCTCTAGAGAAGTCATGGCAGGGCTTATCGTTGCAATTATTGAAGTTTTGGTATGTCCCCCAAGTGAATCCTACAATATCCAAACACAAAGCGTAGCACAGAGAGAAAGATATAATTCTGGTAAACCTGAAAACTATCCTACAACGGCATCAGGTTGTTCATATATGTCATAAATAAATGGGACAAAACAAACCAATCGTAAATTAGCCCACTTGATCTAAACATATCCATACTTATGTTTGGGAAACCTGCGAAGTTCTTCTGAACATAGCACACATACGTATGTATCTTTAGGACTTTTATGAATACGGAGACTGAATTCACCACCAGTTGGGGGTGAACTTGCTTTTTAAATACATGAAAAGTATCGGCTGGAAGAAACATCTTTCCGAGAATGCAGTTAATGTTTGACCAGAACACGAATACGATATAAATTAAATATGAAAGGATCCACTGACCTTAATCAGACAAGCATCAGTGTACAGCTCTCTATAATGACAGATTTCGGTGTCAAAGTGGATATCCACTTCACCTTCGCAACACCACAAACTAACTACCAGAATACATGATTTCCAATCCCACACATAAACGTATACTGACAATTACGGAATCTGGTCCCATTAAGGAAATGAAAAAATCTTAGACAAAGGAAACAAAACATGCAAGAGGAATTCTTAGAGGCCGAATACTCAAATAAATCTACAATCAGTAGGTAATTTAGTATAAAGCTAACGAAATAATAAAGAATACGCCACAGCGAAAAAGTCACATTCCAAGTCAATAGAACTACCAATGCTGATTAACAAGCAAATGCAAAGAATGTTGTCAGGAGAAACCTGGTCACTCACGAGGGACTCGAGAAAATTCCATTGATATTGAAGTCTGCAATGAAGACGTGTAAAAGCCAGTGAGCGCTTCGCAAACAAACAACTCAACTCACAGAACAAAACTACCCCTATGATAACTGACTTGTATTTGACAATGAAACTAGCATTTCACGACACTATTAAGCGTTATGAATGTCCGAACTGACCAAGGTATTGTAACCGAAGCTTCGCTACAAGAATCACGATTAGTAAATTGCTTTTCTCTACTTTATTACGGGCAGCTTTTTTCAATCAAACGAATAAAGTACAGAAAAATATTGTCGAACTCAGTTACCTGCAATAGACGTGTTAATTTACTTTCTCTGTATGGTATGTGAGGTGCGCGTTCAACAAGTGCCGTAATCACACGTCCCAGAGTTAGCAAACTTTGGTTAATCGACCCGGCTTCGCGAGCTCTTTTATCAATAGCACCCGATCTGCCAACATTTTCACTTCCCGCAAGGTCAACAAGATGAAGTTTGCCAATGCGCAGCAACTCGTCGTCAGTTAGCGGATTTACTTCCTTTATGTGAAGAGTAACAGTGAAAATGGAGTGGGAACGACTGAAATTAAGACAATAAGGGCAAGGTACCTGGACTGAGCGTTTAATAACGTCGCTGCAGTTTGTCGTCTCGCGAGACCCCGTTCAATGACGCCATACACATCATCCTTGTTCAGAACCATAACTTCACGGAGGCCCTTGATGATGACAGAGCCTTTGCGGTTCACGTCATCGTATATCATAAGACGAACTGTATCATCCGTGACTGAAAGAAGATCAAACAGCTCTTCGTTGTAAACTTCTAAGAAGGATACGCGGACAGAAAAGTCAGAACCCTATACAATGATTATTGAAGCAAGACACCTACATTTGACTGCAAGGTTTCAAATAATTGGCTAAGAGCCCGTGGGATGATTCCTGACAATGGGTCACTTTCCCATGTGTATCTCAACTTATCTGATCTTTCACCAGTCATAGTGAAAGTTTTCCCGCTTCCTGTTTGACCATATCTGAAAGAGTAATTTGGACTTGCTACAACTCACGCAAAGATCGTGCAATTATAGCCCATTATTATTTCATCGATCATCGGTGCAACCATACTTTTGTACACATCTATTTGTTTCGAAAGATGATTGAAGACATGATCAAAGGTAAACACCTTCGATACGCCCTTTTCTCCTACAGTTACTTTGTACCGGCTGCACTCGACGCATGATTGTGCACCCTTCTCTCTTTCTTGCTTATTTAAAGGTCTAATTAAAATTGAAGTGTAAGATATAAGTGACTTGCCGACAACGAACAGCAACCCGAATATTTTGTTGGTTTTCTTTGCCAGACATTTTCAAAACAAAGTTCGCGCCGTGGTATGAGGAGTTAACTATTGATGAAAGCAAACCAAATGTCACACGATTTGGTTTGATATCAAAAAGAAGGAATAGTGAAGTTTGAGAAGAGTAGCCCACTCAATGATCATATAGTGTCCTTTTTATGTTTTCAGTCTTTTTCCTGAGTTCTAAACAGAATTCTTTTCAGTAAAACATCAATCCAGGTGTCATTGTAGGTCGTGACCTTAAAACTACAAATAATTGTCGTGTGTTGACGATACGCAGTGAAATTTTCACTACTCTATATATTTCTAGTGCAGTGTAGACTGGAAATCTGCATCCAGGTAGTCAGCTGATATCTTAAGGGTAGCTCATACATTCCAGAAAGAGTTCAAAGCTACCAAGCGCATGATTCTTTGAATGACTAATTGATCATGTTAAGACAGGACTGAAAGTATGAGTTTCTTTTCTCAAAATTTATTCATTCAATTATGAATTCGAAGAAATCGCATTTATTTTCTGTTCTCTCCCAGCCAGGTCGGGACATCTCGGAAGAAGTAGCAGGATAGCTCAAAAGGCAATGACGAACTATGCAGCTATGAAGCACTGGTTGTTCTATGGAGTCATAAACTTTTGGTTCACAGAAAATTCACATCCAGACATGTCCTTATAAATTTTTGGAACTAACTTCAAATGGGAAACCCGAAAGGGAAGCGGTGAGTTGGTGGTCAGTGCAAGGGTGACTTGGAGGAGGTCGTGTGAGGAGGAGATGGAAGCATGTGGACAGACTTGGAGCGGGGTGAAAAAGTTGGCAGAAAACAGAAGGCGATGGAGATGTGCAGCTGAAGCCCTATGTTCCTCTAAGAATTAAAGGATATAATAATAATAATGATAACTTCAAATGGATGGTTGAAGGAAGGAGCAGTGGAGACGAATTGTGGTTTTGGTGGATGATTTTGATTCAGTTGTTGTCAGTCACGTCTCGTAAACCGTTAATGCCCAGCTCTTGCTACGCTCGGGCTCACGCTGTTCCTTGAAGTTTCTGAGAAACGCTTAGTTATAACGGACGAAAAAACCATAACACCAATTGTTGACTTGAATATTCTGTATTGTTACACCAACATATAAACCAAGTATGACTAAGGTCTGTGAACAAATATTACAATAATAAATCATAATATTACTTCTGACGATGTTTTACTCTTCTTTCTCAACAGCGACCGATGAGACGATGACTGTCGTATTGATGCCTCCGCGAAAATTGGGGAAGTTGATTTTGAGCAAACAACCAAGAATTGATCGTTCAATCTTCAACTCCATTGACACTCCCCGGCAAAAAACGGATCCAACCCTTTTTTCCTTCACGACCAATACACGTTGACTTGGATGCCATTGCGAGAACCTGGGTCACACGGACAGAGCTGAAATGGAAAACAAACAGAAAAGCCAACACACCACAAGCATACCCACAGCACAATCTCACACATCGACGACGACCTGCGCCTCCAGACAGAGACCTCCTCTTGACATCTTGCAACACAATCGCCACTTGCTAGAATGACTCTTGCAGAATGCGACGTGACCATAGCACCAACTCATGATACTCTACGCACATCCTCTTATCTACTCACTAACAATTACCACTGCAATCGCTTGTCACTCATTCTGCCTCAGTTCTAGTAGCGGTGACGCATGCGAGCCTCAGTCGTTTACACTCTTTCTCCCCGGCGTGTCGGACCGCAGCTAACAATTATCTCCGTGTGCATTTCATTCTCAGCAATAGCCTAGCCTCCCCGGCGTATACGCGATCCATCTGCTGTCTTCAACATCAATCAATTCATTCGTGGTTGTAGAAGACTCGAAACAACTTCAGCGGTAAGCACGACGAACAACTTAAGAAAATTATGCAATATGGCAGGACACGAAAACAACAAGCAAACACAGTGAATCCAAAAGCACCAATTGTGATATGGCACAACACACGTACATACAAACAGTACAAATAGCCTCGCCGATCGTGTCTCGATGTAATTCCTTTGAAGAATCGCAGGACTTACACCAGTACGCCTGCAACCCTTCTCACGTTGACACCTTAAGTTGGAAAATCGTCGCAGGGTCTATTTGCTGACCTCCTTCCATCAGCTGTCCCCTCAACTCCGAAAGGTAACACGCCCATGTCACTGTATCGTGGAATGTAGATGACTAACAAACACACGAAGTACCCCACCAACCAATCTTGGGTACAGCGTAATTTACACCAGAAATAATAATATTCAAAAAGCAATTTGAAGCTTGAAAGGCATTTATTCGTGCAAGTCAGCTTAACAAGTATCCTCTCATACACAGTTGAGTTATCGTCCCTAAACCGACCATTGACATTCGTCTTTTCAGACAGATCGATACTAGCATAGTCACGGCACAAGACACATGACCTCATGGACGTCCCTTTCATTGTGGATCACAACGCCAACGACGACTGAGTGACACAAATTGATGAACTTAGCGGTGCATCAGAAGCTGTCGTTGTTCGGTTTTTAGAAGTTTGTCTAACTGCAAGATTACCACCACTGCTATCTTTTATTATTAGCTCCAGTTTAGCATTAACATCTGTCGATAGTTGGACTACACGCGGATCATTTACACTGACGGTCTCACGAGTATTCATACCTTCTACCACCACATCTACCCTTAATTCTACTTCACGTTCAAGTGGTACAGAGCCTTTGTTCAACTCAGCAGTAGTAGGCATTCCCCTCATCTCATCATGATCAACCAAAGACAAAAGTGCACTATCATGATCATTATCCCAAATATTCACTTTACCGTCGTCTATCTGGTCGACTTCATGATCTTCAAACTCTTTAATAACAGCAGTAGATGATTTGGGCTCTTCCTCACAAATCCTTAAAGGTTTTATACCTTCACTCTGACTAGCGATACCTTATAAACTTGTGGAGTCAGAACTGGACTCTGAAACTGCAACTCTCTTCTCCTGCACAAACCGTGGCGTCGTCCGTGACACTCCATTCAACAATGACTTACCAGTTGCAACTACAGGCTTCTTCACCGTGCCATTACTGTCACACCTATGTGCGTCAGTGGCACAGTGTTTAGGACTCCCGCCAACCATCCACATGCTCCGGGGTTTGACGCCCCGCTGAGGCACACCTGATATCTATAGTCAGTCTGCAAAATTTGGACTACCGAAATCACATGCTGAATATTTCATACTTGTACCAAAAATACAGTGTGGAATCAAGCTGTAATAAAAATAAAAATAAATACAATTTGTATTCAGGTACTGATGATGCTGATTTCACATTTAGCTTACCACTAAACTTGATCAGGCGCGCTCCTTGAATAAGACGTGCTTTTTACTCTCTAACCGGAAATATCCAATTTCGTGAATTATTCGTTTGGGAAACCTGATCTTCCTACCCGGCGAATTTTATTCAACCATTTCTTCCTCACCGAGCCTGTGTGTGGTACTTCCCGCTGTCTCGAACTACTGCCAAAGCTTCAGGTGCTACTTCTGTAGCAACATCCTCCTCACTCTTTCAAATATACAGGACTTGTGGACTGTTACGTGATTGCTGTGAAGCCGAATAACCCGAAAGTTACAGGTAAAGTCAAAAGCTTTTACTTAGATACTTTATCCTTCTTTTCTGTGCTCTCTGTTGTCTTTTGCTGTAAGTCTATTGGACAAAATAAGTCTCTTATTATTTAATCACCAGCATTAATTTAGAAGTAAAATGACAATAGATTCTCGCCCTAAAATAAGTAATGGGACATCATACTCCGTAGTCACCAGGGCTTCAGCCGAACTAGGCAAACAGGTGAAGCGGATGGACTCACGCATACCGGTCTTGAAGACCAGGTCAAATATTCCCTGCTCGTACAGATTGCCCATGTCGCCACAGTCCTACAGTGAAGCTGTGCAAAGTCAACCAAGTGGATGTGGCTCCAACCCTGTTAACACGACTAGGTTAACAGAGCCGAGTGGGAAGATTGCACTAAGTGAGAACTGCATAACACCCATCCCCATGGTAGACCATGAAACAAATAGGAAGGCCAAAAAGAAACGTTCACGACGTCGCAAGACGACAAGAACGCTCCCCAAGAAGGCAGACGACTGCACGGTCTGCGCTTCTGTTGTCGAACAAGCAGACTCTGCTTTCGAATGTAACTTTTGCATGCGATGGGTGCATTGCAGATGCGACAATGGGGTACCAAAAGCATATTATGACTTTATGCGTAGAAACCCATGCCAATGGTTCTGGTACATATGCCCGAGTTGCCGTCCTGATGTAGCCTCGCGTAGTCCTTTGAAAACTAAAGACGGTGCAGAAGCAGCGGGGAAAAATATGAAATGTTCGACCCCTACCAATCCGGAAAATAGTACAAACGCACGTAAACCGGGGATACCAAAATCCTCACCGGTTAAACTTGTAACTCTTGACATAACCGCTCCAGACACAGAGACTGGAGAACCACGGGTTTCCGTCGTTGGAAAAAGACCCCTATCGTCTGCCAGTAATGCTGGCCATAGCACTGAGACACAAAAATACCCAGTCGCACCAGACGAAACAAAACGGTCTTAAAGGGGATCACAAATGTGCTAGGACCGAGCCTAAGCCCACGGTTAGTAGATCAAATTGTGTAATCCTCTTTATTGTACCAGACTGTGGTAGTAGTAGTCTGCTGAAAGATAGGGCCCTATTTGATCAGGAACAGTGGTCCATCTTGTGCAGCACACTGGGTTTGGACATCCAACCGGTAAATCTATGCAGATTGTATAGGAGCACTGTTGCACTTCAAGGAAAACCATCTTCACTGAGTGTAACATCGGGCTCCACCGAGGATGTTGAAAAAGTGTTGCTGGCTTCTCAAGTCCTTTCCATAGGGAGGGCCTGTAACATACGTGTTAAGCCAGACAGGCCGTGGAAGAGAAGAGAAATGGCGAGGGAGTCGCCAGAGCTTATTCCTTCTGCCTCCATGGTTGTGCATGGCATTCC